GATGACTGAAAGTATGTCTACTTACAACACACAAACACTGCTTCTCACTGCCTAGTCAGCTACTACGGCATACACTCTTCCCTCGAATTTAAATCGCACACAAATCTGCACAACAATTCCTTTTGAAGGATAATTAACTATCTAAATGCTTCCACTCAGTGGTGCTTTCCTTGAATTCCACCATTAATCACAGTTAGCGACATTGCGAAGGGTGTTAAATGCGCCAAATTCCAGCGCAATCTCTGACAATCTCTGGCATGGTGATAGGGAAGGGGTATGATGAATTGCAATTACATGGCAGTCGCAGGCCACCTCGAACCCTAGTGCTTCTCCAGCCTCATTTCGTCTAATCCAAGGTGTGCCCGCCTTTTAAAAACACTCCCTTAAGCAAAACGCATAGCATTACCACATGAAGGAGAGGAATTGCTCTGATGGCTCTCACATATTCATTCGCCTCCTCCTCGATTTCAGCAGACGCCCCACACCCAACATGCGTTATATTTTAATTGTCATCTGATACCTGCTCACGACATATAGGCACGTTTTCTCCATCACACACGATACCGCACCCCGTTCACTGCCATAGCCCACAACTCATATGCCTGCAGTGCCTAAAATTACTGCATCAAAAGGTGATAAGAAAAAACACGCAAGCCTTTCAACTGTGCACACTGGCCTAGCCAGAAGCCAAACACTTGCTTATAACTGCCAGAACTAACAAACAGTACGGTACCGCAAATGCACACAGACAAGTCACACATAACAAGATTTAGGCATGGCATAGGACGAAGAAGATAAAAGACGCACCAATTGCTGCCTATAGCTTCATCCCTACTTGTGCATGACAAAAACCGTGCTCTTCGCAATAACAACTGTTCATGGTAAAACTCACATGAACAAAAGCAGCAGTGGTGCTTGAAGAAGGCAAATGCTCCTTTGTTCTAGGCAAGGACCGACCATTGCCGCAATCCTCGAATTCTACGATCCTGCACCGAGGGTGCCATTGCTGCTTCGCGCATTGGTTTACGAAGGGCGTCTTGCAAGCATTGTAGATTGCCGTTGCCTGACTTCCCTAACATTGGCTTTTAGCCAAAATGCACAATTTAAAGCATTCCAATATCTGCGAAGTGATCTGCCACTTGGAGAGGTAAATGTAGCAAAAGAGCTCATAATATTGCGTGTTAAAAGGACAATATGGGGAGGTGAATGCAAAAGTTATCAGAGGTCTTCTTGTCGCCGAAATTGTATTTTCGCATACTTAATTAGTAGTGCATGATTTGGTTTCATTTGAGTTTTCTCCAAATGCTCCTTTGAGCAAAAATCGAACCCAAGACGAACTATCCATTGCTGACATACGATGTTTCAGATATTCAGTTCATCTGCCTCTCGGACTCATTTTGGGCGGACT